TTATTATTATTATTATTATTATTATTATTATTATTATTATTATTATTTGTTTATTTGTTTATTATTATCATTATCATTATTATTATTATTCATCACATTTGTTATTTCTCTGTTAAATGAAATGCACCCAGACAACTCTTTTCAAAGTATCTATGTATCATTAAAATATAAAATACAAATACAAATACTATGTCCAGGCTCCAACACGCACCCCGCATCTCTCAAGAGTACAAATTTTTTTTTGATTTATTAGGAGTGACCATGTCGGTGTTACCTGGGTACAGCCGACACTAAGATACATCAATCATTTCCCCCTTAACCCTGGTCTTTCCCCCATGCGCTGGATGTATATTCTCCAACGGGACACATCCATAGCCAAGAGTCTTCAATCAGGATCTCCAGTAATCATCTTGTGTGCCAACAGCTTCGGCTGCCAAGGCGATTATCTGAGGCATTTAAGGAATGCACTGCTTTCCCCACCACTCCCTTTCTGCTGGCAACTAAAAGGACCAAAGGAGTATTTTTTTTAGCTGATCTACTACTACTGCTACTGCTACTGCTACTGCTACTACTACTACTATGACTACTAAAAAGCCCAGTGCAAAGATAGGCCTTACTGTTGGCTCCCATGCTGTCAGGCATGCTGGTGGGGGTCAGGGTGTTGCGTTGCTGGGGGTTGATGAGTTGGCTGACCGAGGGCAGCTTGTTCATGCCGCTGATTTTCCCAAGCGGAGGAGAGCTGGAGCCGTACGAAGGCTGAGCCTGGAGGGAGTTTCTGGGAAAGAGAAGAAGAGGAAGTTAAAGGGACGCTGGAAAGGAAAGCCCGGGTGAACTGGCGTCGATAGGAACCCAGCTGCAGAACCAGGGATGGAAGGAGAGTGGGGTGTCAACACAGCCCTGTGGAGGTTTAATCCAGGCTCAATCCAGGAAGCACCACTGCCCCGGGGAACACGGGACCAGCACGCCACCTGGCACTGATGATGTTACTTAGTCGGGTCATGAAACGTCTGACTGCAAAGATACAATCTTGCTCAGAAGTCTATATAGAAACAGGAAGCAACCACCAGTAGCACTGAGGATATTACCTAGCTGGGTCATGAAACGTCTGGAAGCAAACCATCCAGTTCAGAGAGCACCAAGGACCCCACAGTCCTCCTCCTTTCCCCTTCCAGCACTGATGATGCTAGCTAGTCGGGTCATGAAATGTCTGCAAGGAAACCACCAAACACCAAGAGCACCTCATGTCAACCCTGATCTACAAATATTTTATTAATTTATCCAAAGTTTCCCCAAAGTTTAAGTCTGCATATCCTTACAATATCTGATGGCAAGGGGAAGTACAAATTCTTTTTTCCTACGAAGATTGAGGAAGATTGGATGGATGGATTACAATGAATGTTGCTCCTAATATATCTTTCGACTTCTTTTGAAGTTGGGCTCGAGGCTCCTGTTTTAATTGGGGCAATTGCCAGAACCCTGACACAATGTTGTAATAATATATTCATAAGTATTCAATCGGGGGGGACAATATGTGTATATGTGTTGGGGTTTTTTTGTGACGCACCTTTTTCAATAAAGGAAAATATTTGTCGCTCAGGATTGGCACGGGGGCTCTCTGAGCTGGCTGGTTTTCTTGCAGACATTTCATTACCCAGCTAGGTAACATCATCAGTGCCATTAAGGAGTGCAGTTTGCTCTCAGTTTCTAATCGGGTGACAGGCTTGCCCTGTCACTCTTGGTGGGGGTGGTCTTTGGGTGGGGTTGTTGGGCCTTTGGCAGTTCCTGGATTTTGGGGTGTTGTTGACTTGGATTGTTGGTCTGATCTTAACCTTGGGATGAATCTTTGCTGATCCGGGTGCTAACTGCTGTTGGAGAGGGGCTTGGGTTTTTTTCCTTCTCTTTTGGGCTGGTTGGTCGCCTCTTTTGCATCGTCCGTAGATGCGGTTAACGTCTATGGGTCTATCGATGGCCGACCTGTCCGAGTGCTAAACTTCTCAAAATTGCCCTAGAGTTTTTGGACTTGGCCTGGTCTAGGATGGTCGCCTTTTCCCAACAGAAACTATGATTAAACCTGTCCATAGGTTAAAGAATTTTCATCAGGTCTTCTGACGGCTTTTTTTATAATGTTTTGATTGCTTTGGGGTTTTTTTTTTCTTTTTTCTTTTGTCCTTTTGGATATTTTTGGAGTCTTTTATTTTGTATTTTAACTTTACCTTGAATAAAATGACATACATACATTCACACATAGATAGATAGGTATAGATACAGATATATACCGTGTTTCCCCGAAAATAAGACCCTGTCTTATATTTTTTTTTGCAACCCAAAAAGGCACTGGGTCTTATTTTGGGGGGGATGTCATCCACTGACTAACCTCACTTGCACATGTTGCCCCCAGACTCCTTTTTGCTGTTGGAAAAGACCTTCAGGAACTTCTGTGGCCAGCAAGGCTTTCCTGAGGGCCTCGGCATCCCTTAACGGAGTTCTGGATCGATCCAGAACTTTGTTACCAGCTCCAGAGGCCTTCAGGAAAGCCCTTGCCGGCTGCAGAAGAAATGGGCCGGCCAGGCAGGTGTCGGGGTGTGTGAGGCCTGGCTACACCTGTCCAAAGGTAAGTTAGTAGGGCAGCTCCACCCTCACATCCTGGCTTAATTTCTACCTGTCCACTCTGGAGTGGGCAGGAGCTTAATTAGGGCTTATTTTGTGGGTAGGGCTTATATTGGGTGCATGTGTAAAAAAGCTAGGACTTACTTTCAGGGTAGGTCTTATTTTGGGGGAAACAGAGTGTGTGTGTGTGTGTGTGTGTGTGTGTGTGTGTGTGTTTTCTTAAGTTTTTGCGGGTACTTACATGTATGGCATTCAGCTTTGTTCGGGTATTTTCCCACGTCATGGTAGTTGTGCTTTTAAAGTTGTAGCAACGTTTCGGCAGAATCTCATCTGCCATCATCAGACTTCTGTATTGTGTTTGAGATTCTGCCGAAATGTTGCGACAACTTTAAAAGCACAACTACAATGACGTGGGAAAATACCCGAACAAAGCTGAATGCCATACATGCAAGTACCCGCGAAAACTTAAGAAAACACACACACATATACATATATATACATACACACACACATACATACATACAAACACATACACACACATGTATACATACACATACATGAACACATATGCATACAGACACAGACACTTTTACACACGTAACCTGGATGACTGAGAATCTCCACAGACATGTAAATACACCAAAGTAGGTTTGCCGTATCGTGTCTAGGCAGCCCTTTACAGTCACCGCGACGTTTTTGGCTGGCTTGAGAGCGGCCGGAGGTCTTGTGGCCTCCCCAGCTCAGATGGACTCAGAGAGTTAAAAGGCATTTCACTAGTCCTTGACTTATGACTGTTGGCTTAACGGCCACTGAAAGTTACATCCCAGACTTGGGAAAAAAAAAAAAGCTTCTGTATTTGGGGCCCATCCTCAAAGTTTCAACTGCTGCACCAACCCACTCACTGTTCTCACCTAAGGCTCCCCAAAATCACGAAGCAGATCCCTCGTCCTGACAAAAAACCCCTTTTTTATTTAGGCTAAATGTGAATTCCTCTCATTCACATCCAGCAAAGTCCTGGCCAAGAGTCTTTCAAGGGTGAATTACAACCACAGACCTTGTCAGGCTACCAATCCGATAGCTCCCAAACGCCACACTGTAGCAGACATTACTTGGCAAGAATGAAGGAACAGATCTTCTACACGAATGTCTTTTGCAAACCCCACTCCCCTTTCGCTCCTCTTTATTCCCCTTGGGAGGGGCCATACACCGTCCACCTGTGCCTTTACTCCCGAGTTCACTCTTGTTCCTTAACTGTTCCCTTCATCTGGCAGCTCTGTGCATGCGCACACTGGGAACAGGCTCCAGCTGCTCTTCTTCCCCACTGATCTCCGACTCCGAAGGCAGCTGATAACTGTCGGACGGCCCTGGCCCCATCTCTGCCTCCGACGCAGAGCCCTTTTCAGAGCCTTCCCTCGACTCCAGGACTGGCCCAGTTTCCTCCCCAAAACCTCCTCACTGTCCAAGTTTGCTGGCAGCCACAACACCCACATGGTTCTGGGGGGAGGGATGGCAGCTGCGTCCCACTCACAACTGGCGGCAGCACGAGACAAACATATGATTTGGTGTATTGGGCAGGGGGGTTGGACTAGATGACCTATAAGGTCCCTTCCAACTCTGATTATCTGTTATCTGGTGTTTTGTGACATTATTTTTGGCAGCTGCGTCCCACTCACAACTGGCGGCAGGACGAGACAGACATATGATTTGGTGTATTGGCCGGGGGGGTTGGACTAGATGACCTATAAGGTCCCTTCCAACTCTGATTATCTGTTATCTGGTGTTTTGTGACATTATTTTTGCAGAATTCCAGCAAAAACCAAAAACCGACCACTAGAGAAGCTGGATTAAGACTTATGACCACATAAGAAATAGGGGGAATATATTTTTTTTAATATAATAGAAAAAAAGCAATAACTAGATGGAAAGAAAAGAGGTTGAAAGATGGTGTTACTAGGTAAGCTCAAATCATAGTGTGATTGGCATTAAAATGGAACATCGAAATATTGAATAACGGCTTTAAAACAAACCTGTGTATTAATACCCAGAATTACATAAGTTTGACTAACGTAAGAAATATTATTAATACGATTATTGCCGCTTGTATCAAAATGAACGACGCCCAGAGGCCACACGGTTCATGGTTTGATGTCGATGCATATTTTAAAAATAAAAATCCCCCCAAAAAAACAGGGGGAAAAAAAAGGCTTATGATCACATGATTTGCTTAGTGACCGTTTGATTCCCTAAACAGGCATCCTACGCCCAGGTGTAATATATCGTGGAGACTGGACTTAAAAGGCAACGATGCCTTACAATCAAGCTTTCCTGGCTGAGTTGGACTTGTAAAAGTTGTGGGTGACTTGCCTGGCTTGAGCCAGGAAATGACCCAACATTTTTTGGGGGGGGGGGGGGGGCAATTAGAAGGCCCGGGGGAGGGGCTGCAGTGGAAAACCAAAGTGCTTCCGACGACAGAAAGAAGAAATGTTGGCAAGAGGAAAAGGAAAAAGACACACGGAGAGAACAAAGCCAAGACGTAAAAGTTTATTGCAGAACTTGGTGCCAGACGTTGGGACAGGAAGCCCGAAGGAGGAATGGACTTTTGGCCCAAGTCCGTGTAGGAGAAGGGAGGGCAGAAGAGGAGGGCGGAGTGAAACGAGCAGTCAGCCTAGAATCCCTACGTAGCCACAAACTGACTTAAGTCCAAGGCCCCTTGAGGTATATTGACTCTCATCTGACTCCTAGCAGGGACTGACCGTTAGTTGAGAAGATTCCTCGGCCTTAGCGATAAATAGGTTTATTTATTGGAAGGAGGAAATGGGAATCGGAGGGAGGGAGGGAGGGAGGGAGGAAGGGAGGAAGGAAGGAAGGAAGGAAAGAAGGAAGGAAATGGGAATGAGAAGGGAGGGAGGGAGGGAGAAAGGAAGGGGGAATGAGAGGGAAGAAAGAAGGAAATGGGAATGAGAGAGAGCGTGGAAGGAGGAGATGGGAAGAAGAGGGAGGAAGGGAAGAAGGAAGGAAGGAAAAGAAGGAAGGAAATGGGAATGAGAAGGGGGGGGGAAGAGAGAAGGGAATGAGAAGGGAAAGAGGAAGGGAGGAAGGAGAAGGGAAAGAGGGAGGGAGGAGATGGGAATAAGAGGGAGGGAGGAAGGGAGGGAGGAAGGAAAGAAA